CCCAGAGACATGTAAATTTACCATTGTAATTTTTTGAAATAATTAACTCAATTTGATTTTGTCATAATTCTTTCAAAGACATTGGGTACAGAGAAATTAATTCTTTCTAAGACTAAAATAGTCATTAAAAAGATGGGTGCTGGCTGGGCAGAGTGGCTCATGCTTGTAATCCCAGCACTTCGGGAGGCCGAGGCGGGCAGACAACTTGAGGTCAGGAGTTTGAGATGAGCCCGGCCAACGTGGAGAAACCTCTTCTCTACTAAAAATACAAAAATTAGCCAGGAGAAGAGGCGGGTGCCTGTATTCTCAGCTACTCAAAAGGGTGAGGCAGGAGAATCACTTGAACCTGGGAGGCAGAGGTTGCAGTGAGGTAATTGTGCCACTCAATTCCAACCCAAATGAAAAAAAAATTAAAGGCAGATTTAACAACTTGGATTAAAAATCAAAGTACATGAGGAGATGGATTCTTCATTTGTCCTGATGTGATTATTATGTATTGTATGCCTGTTTCAAAATATCTCATATAACCCATAAATATATACACCTACTATGTACTCACAAAAATTTAAAAAAGACAATTTGCCCATGTTTGACCTTTATGAATTTGTTTCATTTTCAATTCAGAAAAAACTCTGAAAAAAATCAAAGTGAAGAAGGCAATTTTCACCTTTTGAGGGACAAAGTTTCTCTAATTAACTGCTTGGAGTTACATAATTCAGCCATTGCTAGTTCTATAACGTTTTCATTCCAATTTTAATTTTAGAAATTTCATTAATTTTGTTATCCAGTGGGTCTGAGGTAGAAAAACAGAGGAGGGAACTGCTTTCATGTCTTAGGTCAGTGCCCACTAAGACATGTGAAATAGGCTTTTTATTCCTTCAGCATCTTGTAATAGCTAAACACAGAGAACCCGTTAGTAGAAGAATCAGTGTTGCTGATGCTGCTTTCACAGTAAAAGGACTGGCTCCAGAGTCATGATAGTGGAGAAGATTGGGAGTTAGTAAAGGTGCCAACCTAAGTAAGTTTTGGACCAAAAAAAAAAAAAATACAAAAGTAGCCACTTAATGATCCCCTAAATGATGATAAATGAGGAAGTATTGAGAAGAGGCAAAGGCAAATTTACAGAAGTCAGACTGCTAAATGGCTCCTCTGAGAAGCAGATTTATCCTTGGGCATTCACACTCATGGACTTTTGCTTCTTGTCTGATGACTGAGCACCATGATTCTTTCCCTTGAGGTCAGGAGTTTGACCTGTAATGATGAAAGATATAAAGATATAGATGGTATTCATGCCAGGAAATACTATTAGAGCAAATATTATAGCCTTCTTCCTTGCACAGAGAGCAACATTCCATAAATTTTAACCAAGAAAAAATGGAAACTAGGGTCCTCTCTATCCACCAACCCTCAAATGATACCTGAAAAGGAAAATTGATGGCCGGGAGCAGTGGCTCACATCTATAATCCCAGCACTTTGGGAGGCTGAGGTGGGTGGATCACAAGGTCAAGAGATCGAGAACATCCTGGCCAACATGGTGAAACCCCGTCTCTACTAAAAATACAAAAATTAGCTGGGCATGGTGGCAAGCACCTGTGGTCCCAGCTACTCTGGAGGCTGAGGCAGGAGAATTGCTTGAACCCAGGAGGCGGAGGTTGCAGTGAGCTACTGATTGTGCCACTGCACTCCAACCTGGTGCCTAGTGAAGGAGCTAGACTCTGTCACAAAAAAAAAAAAAAAAAAAGAAAAAGAAAGAAAGAAAAGGAAAATTGACATAATCAAATGTGATGGTAAATAGCTTTTATTATTTTGAGATCCATTCCATCAATACCTAGTTTATTGAGGGTTTTTAGCATAAAGGGCTGTTGAATTTTGTCAAAGGCCTTCTCTGCATCAATTGAGATAATCATGTGGTTTTTGTCTTTGGTTCTGTTTATGTGGTGAATTACGTTTATAGACTTCCATATGTTGAACCAGCCTTGCATCCCTGGGATGAAGCCTACTTGAACATGGTGAATAAGCTTTTTGATGTGCTGCTGCAATTGGCTTGCCAGTATTTTATTGAAGATTTTTGCATCTATGTTCATCATGGATATTGGCCTGAAGTTTTCTTTTGTTGTTGAGTCTCTGCTGGGTTTTGGTATCAGGATGATGTTGGTCTCATAAAATGATTTGGGAAGGATTACAAACCAGCAGCCAATATCATACCGAATGGGCAAAAACTGGAAGCATTCCCTTTGAAATCTGGCACTAGACAAGGATGCCCTCTCTCACTACTCCTATTCAATATAGTACTGGAAGTTCTAGCCAGAGCAATCAGGCAAGAAAAAGAAATAAAGGGTATTCAAATAGAAAAGGAGCAAGTCAAATTGTCTTTATTTGCAGATGACATGATTGTATACCTAGAAGACCCCATCATCTCAGCCCAAAATCTCCTGAAACTGATAAGCAACTTCAGCAATTCTCAGGATACAAAATCAATCTGCAAAAATCACAAGCTTTCCTATACACCAATAACAGACTTAAAGAGAGCCAAATCAAGAACAAACTGCCATTCACAATTGCCACAAAGAGAATAAAATACCTAGGAATACAACTAGCAAGGAACGGAAAGGACCTCTTCAAGGAGAACTACAAGCCACTGCTCAACAAAATAAGAGAGGACACAAACAGATGGAGAAACATTCCATGTTCATGGCTAGGAAGAATCAATATCGTGAAAATGGCCATACTGCCCAAAGTAATTTACAGATTCAATGCTATGCCCATCAAGCTACCAATGACCTTCTTCACAGAACTGGAAAAAAAACACCTTAAACTTCATATGGAACCAAAAGAGAGCCCACATAGCCAAGTCAATTCTAAGCAAAAAGAACAAAGCGGGAGGCATCACAGTACCGGACTTCAAACTATACTACAAGGCTACAGTAATCAAAACAGCATGGTATTGGTACCAAAACAGAGATACAGACCAATGGAACAGAACAGAGGCCTTGGAGGCAACACAACATATCTACAACCATCCGATCTTTGACAAACCTGACAAAAACAAGCAATGGGGAAAGGATCCCCTGTTTAATAAATGGTGTTGGGAAAACTGGCTAGCCATGTGCAGAAAGCAGAAACAGGACCCCTTCCTGACACCTTACACTAAAATTAACTCCAGATGGATTAAAGACTTAAACATCAAACCTAACACCATAAAAACCCTAGAAGAAAATGTAGGCAAAACCATTCAGGACATAGGCATAGGCAAGGACTTCATGACCAAAACACCAAAAGCATTGGCAACAAAAGCCAAAATAGACAAATGGGACCTAATCAAACTCCACAGCTTCTGTACGGCAAAAGAAACAGTCATTAGAGTGAATCAGCAACCAACAGAATGGGAAAAAATTTTTGCAGTCTACCCATCTGACAAAGGGCTGATATCCAGAATTTACAAAGAGCTAAAACAGATTTACAGGAAAAAATCAAACTGCAGCCATCGAAAATGATGTGTTTGTGTCCTTTGTAGGGACATGGATGAACCTGGAAACCAACATTCTCAGCAAACTGACACAAGAGCAGAAAATCAAACACCACATGTTCTCACTCATAGGCGGGTGTTGAACAATGAGAACACATGGACACAGGGAGGGGAGCACTACACACTGAGTTCTGTTGGGGGGAAATGGGGAAGGGATGGGGCAGTGGGGAGCTGGGGAGAGATAACATGGGAAGAAATGACAGATACAGGTGAGGGGAAGGAAGGCAGCAAACCACACTGCCATGTGTGTACCTATGCAACAATCTTGCATGTCCTTCACATGTACCCCAAAACCTAAAATGCAATTAAAAAAAAAGAAATAACGGAAAACTTGAAAAAAAAAAAAAAACAAACAAGCCCATTCAAAAGTGGGTGAAGGATATGAACAGATACTTTACAAAAGAAGACATACATGAGGCCAACAAACATGAAAAAATGCTCATCATCACTGGTCATTAGAGAAATGCAAATCAAAACTACATTGAGATACCATCTCACACCAGTTAGAATGGTGATCATTAAAAAATCTGGAGACAACAGATGCTGGAGAGGATATGGAGAAATAGGAACACTTTTACATGGTTGGTGGGAGTATAAATTAGTTCAACCATTGTTGAAGACAGTGTGGCGATTCCTTAAGAACTTAGAATTAGAAATTCCATTTGACCCAGCAATTCCATTACTGGGTATATATCCAAAGGATTATAAATCATTCTACTATAAGAACACATGCATACGAATGTTCATTGCAGCACTGTTTACAATAGCGAAGACCTGGAACCAACCCAAATGCCCATTGATGACAGACTGGACAGGGAAAATGTGGCACATATACACCCTGTAATATTATGCAACCATCAAAAACGATGAGTTCATGTCCTTTGTAGGGACAAGGATGAACCTGGAAACCATCATTCTCAGCAACCTGACACAAGAACAGAAAATCAAACACTGCATGTTCTCATTCATAGGCAGGTGTTGAACAATGAGAACACGTGGACACAGGGAGGGGAACATCACACACTGGGGTCTCTTGGGGGGAAATAGGGGAGGGAAATAGGGGAAATAGAGATAGCCTGGGGAGAAATGCCAGATGTAGGTGAAGGGGAGGAAGGCAGCAAATCACACTGCCACGTGTGTACCTATGCAACAATCTTGCATGTTCTTCACATGTACCCCCAAACCTAAAATGCAATAAAAAAGAAATTAAAAAAATAATAAAATGCTTTCTTATTTGATGATTCGATATGGCTTTGACCCAATTTCTGTCTGTATCCGATAGTGTTTCAGTTTTGCAGTCAGGCTTCTGGGGTCTGAACTACCTTCCAAAGAAAGTCTGCATTTAAACTCTGTTTCTCAAGGGGCAGTAATGCTGTCTCTTTTTATTATCAAAAGCATAATATTGTGGAATACAGAAAGCATGTAATTATGAATCTTAATGGATAATATACCTCCTCCTGGCATTTTAAATTGCTATGATTTTGGCACACTCTGCCCCTGGACATCAAAACAGTCTCCACATTCATCCCCAGTCTTTGACTGAGACAGCTCCTGGAGATCAGCCTCCAGGTCAGGTACTTAAAAATACAAAAGGTATAGATTGGAGCAGCAAAATAAGAATGATAAATAAGGAAATGATCCTATTCTTTTCCCCAGTGTTATGCAAAAAAAGCCTGTAGGCTACTGTGGTAATAAGTGTGATACAAAGATGTCCCACCTTTGCCTTCCTGTATTATGATACCTTGTCTTAAATGACAATCTGAGGATAAATCACACACACCTACATTTCCCGTGCTTTACCATTGTGTATTATAAACACACAGCTATCTAGGAAATCTGAAGTATCTCAGTTACCTAGGACATCTGAAGACTGACCCACAGATAGCATTTTAATCAAAACTTAAATGTAATTTTCTGAAGGATTAGATGAATGTATTGGTGGGCCAATGGTAAACCTTATAGTGGTGACACTCATCCCCTGTTGAGGTAACTTGAAAATGTTGGCGTTAACCTTAACTAAAGTAATGCTTAGGTCCAGAGGCTCTATATGTGACTTTCCATACATGAATGTTATAAAGAAAAAAGTATGCAATGTAACAGAAAAATCACTGCCTTCTAGTGAGAGTACAAGGACTGGAGTGCGAAGAAATTAATGGGCATTGTTGACAGTCATATTCTGGAAACACCTTAACAGTGAATTGGGAAAATAATCCATGGCCCAAATTCTGTCTATGTTTAGTTTGAAAATGCTATCCATTGAGAAAATAATTTGTTTCATGATAATCTTATCTGACTTTGAGTTTTCTAATTATAAAAATACTGAAACAACTTTTAAAAGCCCCTTCAAAATCCTACTAATATAGTTACCTGTAGGCCAGTGTCCTGCATTATCCACCTTTTACCAAACACACTGTCAAAAATACACACCAAAGGAAAGAAGTGGCTGTCATTCATTGGCCTCTTTTCTGGAGTTCCTATCCTCTTCACTGAACTGCGTTTTCTCCTAAGCCAGTACTGAAGAACCTTACAGTACAGACTCATTTGATTATTAACCATTTTTATGCAAAATCATTTACATTTTCTTTTTTATTTTATTTTACTTTATTTTTTTAATTGCATTTTAGGTTTTGAGGTACATGTGATGAACATGCAAGATTGTTGCATAGGTACACACATGGCAGTGTGGTTTGCTGCCTTCCGTCCCCTCACCTGTATCTGTCTGACACAAGAGCAGAAAATCAAATACCGTATATTCTCACTCATAGGCGGGTGTTGAACAATGAGAACACATGGACACAGGGAGGGGAGCACTACACACTGGGGTCCGTTGGGGGGAAATGGGGGAGGGGCGGGGGGGTGGGGAGGTGGGAAGAGATAGCATGGGGAGAAATGACAGATCATTTACATTTTCTAAGCTAGATGGTAGGAATGCAAAACTTGGAACAAAATATGAATTCTTTCTCCATGAGTCAAGTGTTCTTGGTAAGTCTGAATCTCTGAGCTTCAGTTTTCATATATTTTTATTATTTATTTATTTGAGATATTTTCTCGCTATGTCACTCGAGCTGGAGTGTAGTGGCACAATTTTGGCTTACTGCATCCTCCACCACCTGGCTCAAGCAATTCTGCCTCAGCCTACTTACTAGCTGGTATTATGGGCATGCAGCACCACGGCCAGGTAATTTTTATATTTTTTGTAGAGACTTGGTTTTACCATACTGACCAGGCTGGTCTCAAACTCCCGGCCTCAGGTTATCCGCCCGCCTTGGCCTCCCAAAGTGTAGGGATTACAGGCATGAGCCACTGTGCCTGGCCTCGGTTTTCTTGTTTACAAAATGACGTCAACATCCCTTTGCAAATGGGCTTTGTTCAGGGCGTTTTAGAGTAGGGTGACTTGGCACCACACATGCTATTAAAGGGTGCTTATAACACTGGGGACACCATGGCTGAGAAGCTCACACTGCAATCTCCTACGAAGATCAAATAATGCATTTTTATACAGCCAGTTAAATGGCATCTGATTTGGGAAGTACTGTATTTTCAAGCATACAAAATGCATCTCAAAGAAAAAGAGGGACTTTTTTATCCAGGGACTGTGAGAAGCTGCAAACTATACCTGTCACATTTACAGTCAACTCTTAGCAAATGTTTGAGATTATTTCCTAATGTTGTTTTTTTTTTTTTTTTTCCTCGTGTTTCTGGTCATGGCATAAGGCTTGATGCATACATGGGCCTCCTCCCAGTCCCACAGACATTCTTTCTTTCCCTTTATAGCACCTTGAATCTTAGCTGCACCCTGATCTTCTTCTCTCTTCTGACCAGGTGTATGATCCTGACTTTCAGCTGATGTTTCTTCTTGTTGAGGCTCTGGCACGCTGGGCTGCTGGGACAAGAGGTGTGTGTGTGTGTGTGTGTGTGTGTGTGTGTGTGTGTGCAGATAAGAAATGTTCTCATCAATGCATGTCAATAATATGAATATACAGATTACATAGACACTTCTGATCATATGCATGTTTAAAGAAATGCTTCAACACTATCCCAACACTATTCCACATACTTATTCTTCATAAAGTTACTTTTCCCACAGAGAGGTTACTCTAAGACCGTTACCCTCAATGGCCTGGGTAGCCGCTTTAATTTATGTTGGGTTGAATGTGTATAATGTGCTATGAATAAGCATGAGGAGGAAATCACCAGTCAAATCTGGGAAAAACAAGTTCACACATCCAGACAAAACCAGTATGTAGCCCTCTTGGGTTACTCTCCTTTATGAGATGCATTGATTTTTTTATCAACATGGGAGACCTTCGTCGGTGTATCTATACTAGTTCAACAACACTACCAGAAAAAGACATTTCTGCTAGTAGAAAACATCAAACGTTGAGTCACTCACAGGAATATGCCCAATCAGTTGATCAAATTGTAAACATCGTCTTGCTCTGTATCGTCTTCCTCGCCATGCCATATTTCACTCTACAAACAGAATAGGGTGCACTTTGGGAGGCCAAGACTGATGGATCACCTGGGGTCAGAAGTTCAAGGCCAGCCTGGCCAATATGGTGAAACCCCATCTCTATTAAAAATAAAAAAATCTTAGCCATGTGTGGTGTCAGTCACCTGTAATCCCAGCTATCCCAGAGGCTGAGACAGGAGAATTGCTTGAACCCAGGAGGCAAAGGACGCAGCCAGCCAAGATCATGCCATGGCACCCCAGTATGGGGAACAAGAGCAAAACTCCTTAAAAAACCAAACCAAACCAAACCAAACCAGAATACTGTGATTGGAAAAAATATATGTGAGAGTATACTATATTTGACCACCTCCATGGTCGAATGTTAACTTGCAATTTTTAAAACTTTGGTAATACATTGAAAAGTAAGTCAGAGGGCATGTGTAAGTGTGTATGCCTTCTGAATTGAATACTTGCACAGCCTCTTAAGTTCCTCAAGCTAGCTGAGCAATGCCTTAGGGCTTATGGCCAGGGACACACTGTTACTTCCTATGAGGCACAATTTCACAACTGGACTCTCCATCATGAGATATTTAGGAGAATACAGCTTGAGAATTAAAGTTAAAGTGCCCACGGCTTTTGTCCTTTGACACCTAAGGAGCATGCACAGTTGCTAAGCCATTTCCCACCCGAAATCAAGTTTTGTTGGTATGGAGAGCCCAACTCACCCATTCAAATTTCCTAGATGGAGTTGTGAAGCTGCCACACAGCGCTGGGCAGTCCTCACCAGGTGGGCACCTCTGCAAGGCGCTATACAAACCTTGGGGCCCGGGTCACTAGCCTGGAGTGTTCCCACTTTCCAGGCCCCTTCCTTACCACCCACGCCGTCTCGGCCCTGATCCCCCTTGAGGAATCTGGAAACAGTCCTCTGTTGGGGGGTCTAGGCATTTCTGGGACTCAGATACCAGCACCAGCACCCTGCATTGCCCAGCTTCACATAACCGCCCCACCCCCGGACTCCGAGGCCCTCCTTCCTTCGTTCTGACTCCCACAAGACCAGAAGGCCCATAGCCGTGGAGTCACAGAGACGGATGACAACCGCAAAGCCCTTCTCCCTCAGAGTCAAGATCCTCCTTCTGATCTTGCTGCCGAGTCTCCTCTGGAAGCCCACTGCCTGCTCCTCACCCTCACTCATACTACAACTCCCAGGTGAATTGGCCTGTGGACCTACAGTTTTGTCTCAGTAGAAGAGAAAGAATCCAGACAGACCTCAGGGACCGGAGCTGCAGGCTCACAGCTCTGCGGCATTCACCATGTGAGCTCAAGGGCAGAAGGGGAGATGCCCGGTGAACTTGCGCACTGAGGTGGGCACTGAAGGAGCATACGCAGTGACGTCCCCTCTTGCCTTAAGGGCTGCACTGACCATCCATGACCTTCCTGGCAGTGTCCTTTGCCCCTTCCAAGGTCCCCACTAAAGTCTTTGGAATCCAATCTCTCTGTGTGGTTTTTTATGCCTTTGAGACTGAATACCTCAAATAATGTTACCCTTCAACTCATTCCATGCTCATCTGACCCTCCTCCCCGCTATGGCCCTCCTTCCTCCCCACTATGGCCCTCCTTCCTACCCTGCCTGAGACCCCACAATGGCAAGGCCACAGAGGTGTCACTGCCTTTTACTAGCAGGTTGACAACCTCCATGAGGCTATGGACCAAGTGGCCCAACCCATGAATTTTCCCTCACTCATGGACACTTCAACTTCTGGGATGACTGATCTGTGCACTTACCTGCTGTGTCATAGTTGGCAAGAAAGAAGTCACAACGTTTCTTTCCGCAGCTCTGCAGGGACAGAAGGCAGACAGCATGTGCATGTGCAGCAGGAGCTTGTGTAGCAGGGGGCCTGCCCATTGATTCTGGACCTTGTAGGGCCGACCATGCTTTTCCTGCTGTTCGCAGACCCACATCCACAGGGTGTTTATAGTGGAAAGAACGGGACTTAAGAGCGCCTTTGTTTTTCTTTGCCCAATCAGTCTCACGCATTGAGAAACGTTGGGAACACATGGTCCCATGTCACCCTTAATGGAAGATGTGTCTCAGAAAGACCTGTTGTGAGAGAAATAAACTATTTTTGTATTTTTATTTATAATTATTTTTTCAGACAGGGTGTTGCTTTGTCTCCCAGACTGGATGGCAGTTGAATGACCATACCTCACTGAGGTCTTAATCTCCTGGGCTCAAACATCCTCACTGCAGCCTCTCAAGTGGGTGGTACTATAGGTGCAAAAACTATGTAGGCAAATAATTTAGCCGTTAGAGCCTGGTCTCACTGTGATGCCATGCTGGTCTCCAATTCCTGGGCTCAAGTGATCCTCCCACCTTGGCCAATTTTTATACATGTTTTGATGAATCACTTGTTTTTCTCTGTTATTCAGTTTCTGCCATGCTTCTAATGAATGTAATGCAATAAACTCTTCTGCAGACTAAATATATTCACATGTTTTTAATTGCTTTTAGGTTGTGATATTGCACATTTAAATCTCTGGACTGGTAACCAATTTTCCTTAATATACCTGTAGGCCAGTCGGACCATGTATTACTTCTCAGAAATCTCCATAGGTATTGATGATAGGATCTTGGCTCAGTCTACTATGACATGATGCACAGCAGTGGTGACTATGTGCATCATATACTATATTCCCCAAATAGGACCCAAGCAGCCTGTTCATAAGACAGAGCTTACATTGTTTGCATAATACTGTAAGGGAGAGCACTATCTCGACAGAGGCCTGAGTATGTCAGATGTGAAACCGATTTAGGTATATTTATTGTGAATTTGAAATCTGGCATAAAGTGGGTCTTTTAAAGTGGGGGACTGTTTGGTTAGAGTTATGTAGGAATCATCATGATTTAGAATTGGTGGAACCAGGAAGACAAAGATTTTTAGGTAACAGTTCAATGAGTTTTGGGATTTAAAAATGTCATTTGACACTTTTTACTGAAAAGTTGATGGATCTTTCAGACAGTTGCTGAAATGAACAGTAATTTTCTTTTCAATTTTTCTTTTCCTGGAGAAGAGATTCCTGTATTGGTAAACTTATGTTGATGAAGCCAGTGACGTATCAACTCTCCTTAATGTAGGCAGTAAGCTGTGCGCATGATTCCTCTTCTTATTACTTCTGTATTACTTGGCAGTTTAATGTGGGAAATAGTATATGGAAGCAAAGGATAAGAAGGGGGTCCTGATAAAAATGCAGCCTTTTATATATAAATTATGATATATTGCTGAAATGACTCCTGTATATTCCATCTACCTGGGCTTCTTAGGGAAATACCTTGAGTTGGAAAAGAAAGGTTGCTCAATCACTCTCTGACTCTCTCTCTCTCTAAAGCAACTTGAGTAGGAATTGTGGTGTTTCAAAGATTTCTTTTTAAAGTGACAGTGCTTGTAATCATGAAATCTTACTTAATTTACCTTTAATCATTTTATTCTTTCTTGGCAAGGATGCTATGATTATTAAATTTCATTTTCTTTTGTTTCTTATTAAGTCCAGTTTTTAATATTGTGCATTCAGGAGTCCTCAAAGAATGGGAGATAGTGGTTTATGGACTCAGACTTTCTGTGAGCAACTAATCAGCAAGTGGTCAATGTCATACCATCAGATGGCTGGATGGTAGTGTTTCATGCTGTATTAGGAATCTGTAGAAGAACAGAACTAATAAGATAGATGTATATATGAAACAGGGTTTATTAAGGAGTATTGACTCACATAATCACAATGTGAAGTCCCACAATAGGCCATCCGCAAGCTGAAGAGCAAGGAAGGCAGTCCTAGTTACAAAATCTCAAAAGTATTGAAGCCAATATTGCAGCCTTTAGTCTGTAGCCAAAGGCCCGAGAGCCCCTGGCAGATCAGTGGTGTAAGTTCAAGAGTCCAAAAGCTGTCAAACTTGGAGTCTGATGTTAGAGGGCAGGAGGCATCCAGCACAGGAGATAGTTGGAGGCCAGAAGACTCAGCAAGTCTAGTTTTCCACGTTCTTCTGCCTGGTTTATTCTAGCCACGCTGGCAACTGATTAGAGGGTCTACCTCTCCCAGACCACTGACTCAAATGTTAATATCCTTTGGCAACACCCTCTCAGACACACCCAAGAACAATACTTTGGATTCTTCGATTCAATCAAGTTGACACTTAAGATTAACCATTACAGGCCGGGTGCGGTGGCTCAAGCCTGTAATCCCAGCACTTTGGGAGGCCAAGGCAGGTGGATCACGAGGTCGAGAGATCGAGACCATCCTGGTCAACAAGGTGAAACCCCGTCTCTACTAAAAATACAAAAAGTTAGCTGGGCATGGTGGTGCGTGCCTGTAATCCCAGCTACTTAGGAGGCTGAGGCAGGAGAATTGCCTGAACCCAGGAGGCGGAGGTTGCGGTGAGCCGAGATCGCGCCATTGCACTCCAGCCTGGGTAACAAGAGCGAAACTCCGTCTCAAAAAAAAAAAAAAAAAAAAAAGATTTACCATTACATGCGGACCTAGACTTTGATTCCTGAGTGGCCTCATTCCAGCTTCAAGGGGCAGACTTCAGTTTCCTGCCAAATTTGAACTTCCTGCTGCCATTCCTGTGGAATATAACTCTGGACATGCTGGATGAGTTCAAAGGATTGTAATCGCACTGGGATTGGGAAAGTTGTGAGAAACAGGAAGCAGGAGAAAGTATTGGAGAGACAAGAAGAGTTGCCTCATACGTGACCTTAGCAACTTTCTAACTGCCAAGGGAGGAATCAGACCTGGGACCAACAGAGCCGGTCTACTTGTGGAAGGGCTCAATTTCCCACATGACCAGAGCTTCCCATCCCCCATGCACTGGAATCTCTGACCAGAGATTTCCACAGGATGATGGGTGGGTGGGACAAAGTCTAAAGATTCTGAGCTGCTGGCAAGTTTCAGAATGCCAGAGAAAACACTGTTACCTGAGCTCACATCGCATGTTGGTTGAGGTGAAATTATTTGCTACCTAC